TTGCAGGACCTTATTGCTGATAACAGCATGGGGACAGGAGGAACCCAGCTCGCCTTTCTGAATACAAGGGGAGTCACAGCAGCAGCAGTTAGAAAAACAGAACAAAAAAACAAAACAAAACAAAACAAAACATATAATCTTTTGACATGTAAGTGGAATAAAATTGCTGCTGAATCACTGGGAGGGAAAAAATATGAGAGCTTAAGATGTCATTTTTACAGGCATAATTTTTACTCTAATGGCATGTACAAGTCAGTGTAATGCTGTCAGATGCATCAGAGATAGAAGTACAGAAATGAAATAACTCGAACTGCTTCAAAGAATTGTTTTCCTGCCGTAGTTAATTAGTAATGTGTCATGTAGTTGCTTTTCTGTTTGCTGATTTAACTTCTGAAATGGTAGTTGGTGTGTTGGCCATTCTCTCCCATTTATTTGGTGAATTTCTCCTTTTGCCCTTTCTGCAAGTAAGTGTAGTTTCTTGAGACTTGCAGCAACTTGCTCTCAGAAATGTCACAGGAATCCTTTGATGTCGGGCACTGGGTAGTACTTTGCAGTGGGTGTCTCTCAGACAGTAAACAAATAAATATGTCAGGTATAATTCCCTTGTGTCTAGAGCCAAAAGTGCAGTTGCACATAATGCCAAGAGAAGCACCGTCTGTCTGAATAAGCAGTCAAATACATTACCAAAAATACCTGTTTGGATTCAAAGGTCGGTTTATTTTCTTGGGGAAGGAAATCTGGAGAACACCGGGAAATCCAAACTCAATAAGCTCTGCTAATATAAGACAAGGTTACGCAAGCACATTGTGGCTGTCATGAGGAGGGTAATTATCCTAGCAACAGACATATTTATTCTATTCTCTGAAATCATTTAGTTGTTAAAATTTGACCATACTGATAGACTCAAAAAAAGGAGCTGTAGGGGTCTCAGATCCATCCCCCCCTCTCAAAACAGGACCAAGCTCAAACCAAAATCTCTGATTTTAATCAGGTCACTCAGGCTCCTATTCAGTTCAATTTTACATACCTTCAAGGCGGGACAACCTCGTTTGTTCAAATCTTCACCCACTGAAGGCAAGCTCCAAAACTAAGCAAATCCTGTTCCTGTAAATTATTCCTCTTCTTCTTCCTTGTGCTGCCAGAGAGATGTTGGGAACATGTTAGGACCATGTCAGTGAACACAGGAATTGGATCCACCAACTGCCATGGGAGTTAGCATTACTCCATGAGAGCAACATTTCAGGCAGTGCCCTGAAAGAACAGTTACTGTCAAATATACCGTTCCTTTGAAAGTGAAACCTTTCAGAGGAACAGGCTGATTTTCATGCACACAGAAAACCAGAAGAGAATATATAAATGATCAAATTGGAAGAGTTGAATGCTTGCTTCAACATTTTTCCCCTGTGACATTTTGAATCTTGTTTCAAAGAGATTAAAAAAAAAAAGTTTTCTTTTGACACTTTGATTTTATTTCAACCCTTTGTGTAGAATATATCGTCTCATTTTATCAAAATAAAGCAATTTAGTTGACTCCACATGACTTTTTAAAAATTTCTTAAGAAAATTTGGAAATTTTTAGTTGTTTTTTTTTCCGCCTGTTTAGCACAAACTTTTCTCTTCCCACTCAACTCTTGATGAAATAAGTTGTGCACCTCAAGGACATCTCTTTTATACATACGCATAAGCCATGTATATTTGTCCATTTGCATATATCTTTTTTTTTAGTGTGCTGCTTGCACTTAGAAGTTCTCACAGGCTCCACTTCAGGTCAGTGGTCGAACTTCAGTGTGTGTTTGCTAATTTAATGTCTCTAATTTATGATTTTGCTGGCCTCATAAAACAGACTGTTATAGACTTTAAAAATTGAAGATTGACTTTAAAAAAAGGCTGTGGATGTGGTCTACCTTGACTGCAGTAAGGCCTTTGACACCATTCCCTACAACATTCTCCTCAAGAAACTGGCTGCTTATGGCTTGGACTGGTGTATGCTTTGTTGGGTTAAAAACTGGCTGGATATCTGGGCCCAAAGAGTTGTGGTGAATGGAGTTAAATCCAACTGGAGGCCGGTCACTAGTGGCATCCCCCAGGGCTCGGTACTGGGGCCGGTCCTCTTTAATATCTTTATCAATGATCTGGATGAGGGGAGTGAGAGCACCCTCAGTAAGTTCGCAGATGATACCTAGTTAGGTGTGTGTGTTGATATGCTCGAGGGTAGGAAGGCTCTGCAGGAGGATCTGGATAGGCTGCACCGATGGGCTGAGGTCAACTGCATGAAGTTCAACAAGGCCAAGTGCCAGGTCCTACACCTGGGGCGCAATAACCCCAAGGAGAGCTACAGGCTGGGACATGAGTGGTTGGAGAGCTGCCAGGCAGAGAAGGACCTGGGAGTGATGGTGGACAGTCAGCTGAATATGAGCCAGCAGTGTGCTCAGGTGGCCAAGAAGGCCAACAGCATCCTGGCTTGCATAAGAAGCAGTGTGGCCAGCAGGGCTAGGGAGGTGATCGTCCCCCTGTACTCGACTCTGGTGAGGCCGCACCTCGAGTACTGTGTTCAGTTTTGGGCCCCTCGCTACCAGAAGGACATCGAGGTGCTTGAGCGGGTCCAGAGAAGGGCGACGAAGCTGGTGAGGGGCCTGGAGAACAAATCCTACGAGGAGTGGCTGAGGGAGCTGGGCTTGTTCAGCCTAGAGAAGAGGAGGCTCAGGGGCGACCTTATTGCTCTCTACAGATACCTTAAAGGAGGCTGTAGAGAGGTGGGGGTTGGTCTGTTCTCCCACGTGCCTGGTGACAGGACGAGGGGGAATGGGTTTAAGTTGCGCCAGGGGAGTTTTAGGTTGGATCTTAGGTAAAAATTCTTTACCAAGAGGGTTGTTATGCATTGGAACAGGCTGCCCAGGGAAGTGGTGGAGTCACCATCCCTGGAAGTCTTTAAAAGACGTTTAGATGTAGAGCTTAGTGATATGGTTTAGTGGAGGACTTTTTAGTGTTAGGTCAGAAGTTAAACTCGGTGATCTTGGAGGTCTCTTCCAACCTAGATGATTCTGTGGTTCTGTGATTTATTCCCTTTATAAATAGTTGTTGAAACAATGGCCACTACTTCAATGCAGTGCTTATGTCCTACAGGTACACAGATGGGTGCCACATTGCAGATTGTCTGTGCTTACCAAATGTGGGAACTACATCTACCAGACAACCATTATTAATTCACTAAGAAAATATACGCATCAGGCCCATTGCTGAATTATATATTTAGTTATTTAGAAGAGCTGAGAATTCATGGGCACTTTTGGTATCACTGATGTACCAGCTGTGCCAGGTGAAAATGCCAGAAGCCTAGTGAGGGACATTTGTAGGATAACCTGAGAGGCATTTCTGCTGGTCCTGGTGTTGGCCAAGCGGGACTGGGCTGACCACTGCTCTTGTCCTTCTTAACAGTTTCTATTTTCTGCAGCAGATCACTTGTGCTGTGGAGTCTAAGCAGTAGTTTCCAACTACCTATAGAGACATCTTCTCAGTTCTGAACTGCAGGATCCCTGGAGACTTTTAAAAGGAAGTTGAAAATGTTCTCAGTTGCACAATTAGAGTGAGACCTGCATTGGTTGTTAAGAGATTTTAATGCTGCTTTATGGGCTGAATTATTAAACATTTTGCATAAAAAGGCTCTTTCATAAATATCCTTGTTATATATTACTTGGTATGGTCATGAAAAAAAATGCTTGAAGTTCTGTAATTGAGTGTTTATGTTACTTCCTATCAATTATCTGGATCAAGTGGTAGTTCAGGGACGTACCTAAACTTGTAACTGGGGTACAGTGCCTTTGCAGAATGGCCATCTTCCCAGTCTGCCGTATTAGGTTTCTGTCCTGACTCCACTGCTTTCCACTCAGCCCTAGTCTTTCCCGCTCTGTCGTGTTGAAATCAAAGAGACTACAGGTCTGCTACAGCAAGGAGATTGGTTGGAACAGGGGATTGAAAGCCAAGGACATTTCGTGGCTCTGCTGTGGAAGCCTCTGGACCCCAGCAGTCTGAGCAGTGGGGACGTCAGTACTGGCATTCCTCTGCAAAGTATGCTGAAATCCTCTGAAGTTTGAAAATATTTCATTCAGAACCTGAAACAGACTGTCAGGTCAGGGCCACCAGGAATCTGCAATAGAATTTTATGGTTGCTGACCTGCTATGCCTATGGGCATTTCTTCTTTGTCTCTTATTTTGGTCTACTTATTTTTTTGTCTCTTGGAGAAGACATTTCCTGTTCAAAGCTGGTTATATTAAGAGCAGGAGTCTATTTTATTGTGAATACGTTGGATGGACTGGGAGAAGAAAGAGAAAACAGGGCAATTTCCCTCGGTGGGGAAAAGACTGGAAGCCCTGGGCAGACATTTGTGCTGTCCTTGTGGCAGAATGTTAAAACACAGCCAGGCAAGAGGTTTTTACAGGGAGGTAGAAAGGGATTTTTTTATGGAAAAACACACTTAATTTTACAGATATTTTCACAGCTTTGAAACACTTTGTTAATTTGCAACAACAGCCTTTGCAGTCTTGTCAAAATAAATGTCCATTACAGTTAGGAAAACCCCAACATTTACTCAGTTATGGCTAAATAGAAGGAAGGTGAACTCATTCGTTGTGGTAAGGAGGGTGCAGACAGCTTTGTGACTAAGTGCAGGAGGAGAGAAGAGCTGAATGGGAGGTCACTCGCTTGCTCCATGACTTTAGACAAACCACAGCATTAATCTATGCCTTATTTTCCCTACCTGGAAAATTAGAAAATATTGGCTTTTCCCTGCAAGGGACTATGAAACCTTATTTACTCATGCTGTGAAAATACCCTGAGCTCCTTGTGTAAGAGGCAGTCAATAGAAATAGACTATAGAATCTTTTTTTCCCCTCTGTTTTGAAAGGCAGGAGAAACAAGCTGGAGAAAAGGCTTTACAGTTTTATTTCTAGAAGACCTGAAAGTCTCATTCAGTGATGGTGGTTCTCTCACTTCCTCCTTGCAGGTACTATGCTATTTGCTGCCAGCCACTGGTTTACAGGAACAAGATGACTCCATTGCGCATTGCTGTAATGCTTGGAGGCTGCTGGGTAATCCCAACATTTATTTCTTTCCTCCCAATCATGCAAGGCTGGAATAGCATTGGCATCATTGATCTGGTGAGTAATTTAGGAGATACACTGACTTGATACCAAATATATTCCCTGCTGTATATACTTCTTTAAAAAGGAATATGCAAAGAAAAGACAGCAATAGAGGCTAAAGGAGAAGTCCTTGTTATTGAAACAAAGGGCTTGCCGAATTTCTGGAATTTCTCTTTATAGGGATTTTCAAGGCTGCTGCCTACTGCCCCATGCCTAGAGCAGCCCCTGTCTGCTAAGTTTTTATTAGCCTAGCCCCATCCCCACCCATCTGGCCTGTGCCACTTGGCCAGATGAAATGTGCACCCTTGGTGCAAAAGCATGTCCTGATGGACAGAGCAGTGAGCACTGCAAAAAAGCACAGCACAAAGTGAAGTTATTCCCCTTCACAGAGTATGAACTGGGCTATTAGGCTGATTTTCAGCAGCCAGGTTGAGGCATGCTCCAGGACACTGGAGCTGCACATGGGCTGGTTCCACAAACCTCAGGACCATCAGAGCCTGAGATGTAAGCATAGTGGGGAGAGGCAGCAGTGGTAAGGCATATGGGAGAGGGAAGGGAGGAGAGAGAATAGGAAAGTGGTGGTAGAGCATCCTGACAAACAGACTGCTGATGGCAGAGGAGCAGCACTGAATCTCTTCCATTCTTTGTCCTTCTCCTTTCTCCCCCTGCCCCAGATCCAGCAAAGGCAGTTCAACAAGGCTTCCAACTCCACCTACTGCATATTCATGGTCAACAAGCCATACGCCATTACCTGCTCTGTGGTGGCCTTCTACATTCCCTTCCTCCTGATGGTGCTGGCCTACTACCGCATCTACATCACCGCCAGGGAGCATGCCCACCAGATCCGGGTGCTGCAGCGCGCGGGGACCCCCGCTGACGGTCGGCAGCACCCCCCGGATCAGCACAGCACGCACCGCATGAAGACTGAGACCAAAGCTGCCAAGACCCTGTGCATCATCATGGGGTGCTTCTGCCTGTGCTGGGCCCCCTTCTTTGTCACAAACATCGTGGACCCTTTCATAAACTACACGGTGCCGGGGAAGCTGTGGACAGCTTTTCTGTGGCTGGGCTACATCAATTCAGGGTTGAACCCCTTCCTCTACGCCTTCCTGAACAAGTCTTTCAGACGTGCCTTCCTCATCATCCTGTGCTGTGGTGATGAGCGATACCGAAGGCCTTCTATCTTGGGGCAGACGGTCCCCTGTTCCACCACCACAATAAACGGATCAACTCACGTGCTAAGGTGAGTGTTTCTCAGCTGCTGCAAAATAGCTTGAGTCACTAGAAAGAGTACTTCTCATGAGATTTCTTAAAGGAGTGATTTTGTGTTGCATTTGAAATATCTGATGGATTAACTGTTAAAAAAATAAAGGGGGGATTGGGGGAATGAGAAGTGCACAGTAATCCTTAGGGTGCTCATACAACCTGGGTTTGTAGATAGATACCTGATAGATGTTGGCATGTGCGGGTTCTCCAGAGGAATGTTCAGGAAATATTTGGGGGAAGGCAGAAGATATGCATGCATTTGGGATGCATGCTGCTGCATCCTGTTGTTGCTTTGTCTGAGATGAACTCGATCACACAGGGAGCACCCTGGGAGAAGCTGCCTACTCCCTTTTCTCTAGCAAAGGGATTGAGATGCTCCCAATGGCACTTCTCAGGTTCTGTCTTTGTAGCCCCACCAGCTGGTGCTGCATCTCCTGAAGTAATGAATGGCAAAGGAGGATCTTACCCAAGTGCCCTGATGCTGCTGGGGCACTTCAGTGGCTCTCTGGGAGGAAGGGTACTTGCTATTTTGCTTTAGCAGCTCAGAAAATGCCGGGGTGTCTGCCCTTTACAGTAACTGAGCCAAAGCCTGGGGGCTCTCAGGATGCCTGCAGCACAGACAGGAGGTCAGTGTCCTGCTGGAACCGGACACTGGCCTTTGCAGCATGTCGTGGCTTGCGGCAGGAGTGGCAAATGGGGAAGGGCAGATGTTTTCTTTCTGAGCTTGTGGGGGCTGGTGCAGGGGAAAATTGGGCTGAGGCACCCATGTCTGCCAGCAGCCCCGGGCTCCTGCCATGTGCCACATGGGGCAACTCCACACCAGGGCTGAGCCCCTCACTGCCTCCCCCCATGCAAGGCATTGGTGTCTGGATCTGCAGTGTGCATCTCTCGTGGGCTACCAGACACAGTCCAGCTGTCTGGCACTGTGGGGGCCCAGAGAATTTGAGCCCCCACCTCACACACCCATCCCTGGTTTTGTACCACATTGTTTATTGTGAGAGGAGGGCATGTGTGTCCCACATGGTGGGAGTGCAGAGGGCTTTGGAGGGCTCTGTGCTGGGACACATCCTCTGCTACCTTGTTACCAAGCATTGAGCTAGAGGGCAGAGCACTGGAGGAAGGGAGAAAGGAGCAATTATCTCCAGTAATATCAGAAAAAGCTACATTCTCTGAAAAACAAAAAACACCACTGGTGTTTTTGCACTACTGCCTAGAAGTGACTTTGTTCTGGTGGATGTAGTCATGGCTCCTCACTTCCAGATAAAGAGTCAGTAACTGTTTGTGTTCAGAGCTAAACCCGTCTGGAGACAAGCTCAGACTTCCAGCAGAGTCTAGTCTTCTCGTTTGCCCCCAGCTTCCTGCTGTATTGACCTCTGAAGGTGTCTTGGTCTGTGTAATGGAAGGGAAACGGTGCAAGGCATCCCACAGCCCTGGGACAGGCCTCTCACACCTCTGAAGTCATGAAGGCCATTACAACGTATATAGAGCCCTCTGTCTGTGATGGGGGCATGGCACCATGCCACACGGAGCACATGCCTCTGTCAGAGCCATGCCTGGGGATGAGGCAAATGCTCCTCAGCTGCGGGAGAGGGCAAGGGAGCATGGCCTGTGCTGGGGAGCTGCAGGGGTGAGCGCCAGAAATGTGGCTGTGCGTGGGGAGGAGGGAAGGGAGGGCTGGTGGGGGACTCCTGCTGGCCTAAAGACAAAGAAAGGGAGAATGACATCTATTTGGGCTAGCAAGTGCTGAAACAAGGTACTTCTTGTGAAGTAGATGAGGCAGTGAAATGACAGGGAGCCTCTCTCAGGTGTGGGTTTCAGATGCAGCAGACAGCAAGCACATCAGCACCAAAGGTGAATTGCTTCAGCCCAGGCCCACGTTTGACCTCCGAATGTCACAGATGACAATGCTGGTGCCTCCTCGTGTCTCAAAGATGTCTCACTGTGTTTGCTGTCTCTCTGTGAGAGCTCCTTGTCCTGCCTGTGCTGTGCGGGGCTGGCAGGCCCAGGCTGGCTCTGCCCTGGGGACACCGGGCAGTGGAGATGTACTCCTGAGCGCTTTCCTCGAGTCTTGCTGAGTGTCCCCTGGTGCTGACAGACTTCTCATTTTGAAACCCTTTTAAACCATATGAACGTCCCTGAGGCCAAAGCAATTGTGAAGAGTCACCTCCCCTCCAAAGCTGGGGGGGCACAGTCTTGGCCAGCTGAGGTGGGCTGCACTAAGTTGTGGGTGCCACCCTGGAGCTGAGGTCAGGCTTCTCTCATTTCCACCTCATCCCTCCCACTCGTACAACTCAGCTTCCACTTACAAGTCCTCCAGGGAGATAGGTAACAAGTCTGGGGACTGCCTGACCAGCTCGCGTGCCTTGCTGTAATCCTGTCAGTCTTGATGCGATAAACATTACAAAAGGCTCTGTAAGACCTAACTCTGTACAGGGCATCTTGTTCATTTCTGGGTTTTATGGGTACTTAAGAGTGGATGAACTCTCTTCAGTGTCCTACCACCACAAGCCACATATCTCCTGCCTTTCCATGTCACTCCAGCTTGAACAGCAGAATGTGCTTGTGAGCTGCTGAGGGTTGAGGCTCAGCACATCAGTACTTCAGAGATCAATTCTTTTCTGTTTTTCTTGGCTTTGGAACAAATGAGAAAAGTGTGACTTCTTCCCTTGGTGCAGGTTATGAACTGATGGTGCTGCAATTGTGAGGATTAAAGGAAAACTGACTAATTACAGTCTCTAGACAGTTACCCTCACATGGGGAATTTTGATTTCTTCAATGCTTCTCTTAAACGCAGAACAGTTTGAACTCGGCACAGATGGAAGAGATTCAGTGAGGCAGCTTCTCTCCCAGGTATAAAGCATATTTGCTTTGCTGTCTTGGAAATATAAGGGATTTCAGCAGCTGAAATATTGAAACCTTCCTGTATGTCTTGGCTTCATACCAGCCCAACTGAGAAGCGGCTCAGGGGCTGGACCCGGTTCACACGCGTCTTTTCCAACCTTGAAGTTTTTTCTTCCTGACTAAGAGCTTCTGCACATGGGGAAGTTGTGCAAGGGGGGTGTTACAGCTGCGTTTTGTACCCCAACAGGGATAGAAGTGAAGAGAAGGACGGACCCTGTTCTGAACCCAGGGCAGGCTTCTGCCCCCAAAACCACGGAGATGTACAATTCTGTATTAAACTGACATGACTTGTTCAGCCACAAAGGGAGTCAGGAGTGGTGGGCAGTAGAACTTGAATTTCTAACTCCTCTTCATTTCCAGTCTTCACAAGATCTGAACATTCCTTCAGCTTTATCTGTCCAAACTGTTCTTTCTTCACTTGCAATCAACTCTCTGCTGCTTTTGCAAGTGCAAAGAGTATGCTTGTCAATGCTAAAGATTAAATTCAGGCTCTTGTTCTTGGATATGTGTGATCTGTGAGAGTGCCTTCCAGGGACAAACTGATTTCTTCTTTTTTTTTTTCTTCTGAAAACTTCAGTGTTAAAATGTGCTTACATTCCTATTTTGGGATTTTTCACATTTATATTAGGAATGGGAAAAAAAGAAGAAGGAACAGAGCACGATAAAACATGGCAGTGAGAAGAGGCAGAATCCCTCAGCACACACAGACTGACAGACTGGTTAGGATACGGTTCTCATTCTTTCTTTAATTTATTTTTCAATTGATCTGTGAAGACTGTGATGCTCTGGAGGACCCAGGCTGAGAGAGACTTTGTACAGCACACCTGGGGCCAGATGCAAGCACAGTGGTGATGCAGACTGCAGTGGCTTGGCTGCTTGACCATGACAGGAGGGAGCCCACAGCTGTCTGAACCCCACAGAAACCACCATGCTTTCTCCCTAAATCATGAACCAGAAGATGGGGAAAGGATTTCACATCACCCATTTTGTTCTTGAACTCTCCATCAGCTGGTGTGAAAGACACCTGTTCCTTGGGCAGGGGAAGACACAGTGCAACGTGATTTGGAGATGTCATGAACAGTCAGGAGACAAGATTTAGTTAGAGATGGATCTGTCTGTACAGTGGGCAAGAGTAGAATTAAATACTCATTCAGCTGTGAAAGAGGATTTTGACTTGCCTGTTTTCTGAGTTTGATTTCTGCAATCATGGCAATTGACAGAATTGTGTTTTTGTTAGTGCCTGGACATCAACCTATCTCACTTCTGATGTGTACCACTAACTGCAAAATTCAAGCAGAGCACATGGAAAGGGTGAATTGAACTCTGCAGATGTGGCTACAATCAGAAATTCATGCCCTATTCATTTTTGATGGCTAAGATTGCAACTCACGTGTCACATAAAAAGGTTTGCTTCTCTGTTTGCAACACAAAATGTGTAATTCATTATAAATATTTGCAATTCATAGTTCTAATAACTTATGGTTTGGAATATCACACATTTGAAGGACTTGGGAATCATTCTGAATTGCAAGTGGATAGGAGAATTTACAATGCACTCTCAACTAATGTATGGCAAAAATTAGTACAATAATTCACTGCAGTAGATACGGGTTTCTGGACAACTGTAGCATGTGTTCGGTGCACAGTCCTGTACACCAGAAGAATGAAAGTAAAATGCCATAGTCATCTGAAAAATGCTGCCTCCCTCTTTAAACATATTGCTTGCATATCTTTTGTTATGCACAGACGTTTAGTCAGAACAAAGCAGTGAACTCATGCCTTTGTGAATCATTCAACTCATACTGCACAAGAGGATTGGAACCCAGCACAGCATTGCTTGAATTTTTTGGATAAGACAAGTTCTGAAATTTTGCCACAGTGGAGAAGATGGCTTTGGGTAAAATATAGTTGAGCAATGATCAGAGCAGAAAAATTCTGGAACGTTTGGGTCAAGGAGGTCACTTTGGTGCATTCCCCATTTCCTCCCAGAAGTGCACTGTTCAGCACAGTACAGTGTGCTAATCTCTTCTGGGAAAGCTGTAGTGAGTGGTTTATTTGCTCCTTTTCTATCACAGA